GTGCTTTTGGTATGGTCGGTCATCTGGACACCAAAAGGACCCTGAGGACATTCTCATGCTATGCTGCATTGAGGAAGTTTCAGAGCATACTATTGTGGGTTATTTTGATAAGTGTAAATGCAAGGCAGAAGTCTCAAAGACAGAAACCCCAATCCCCAAATTGCCTCATCACTCACACTGTAATAGGAAATAGGAGTAAACTAAGTAATAAACATTATCAACTTGAGATGACAGCAAGAGAAAAAATATGTACAGTCCCACTTTTCTTTAGCAGCATTTCTCTCTTGAGTATGTCACAATACAAGAAGAATCGGTTTTCACTTAGTCTTGGTTTAGGGCAGCATACACCAGATACCCCCCACATCAGGTGCTCATTAACCTCACATAATTAAGAGTCTATCTCTTATTGCCCAGAATGAATCGATATTATCACCACGATTGACTTTCTATTTGAGCCTGAGTTTCCCCTGTCCTTATCCAGTGGTTCCCAAACTTGGGTTCTCAAAGAGTTTTTGACTAAGGCCCCAGCTAACATAGTCAGTAGTCAGGAATTTTGGGAGATGAAGTCAAAAACACCTGAATAAGCAAAATTTGGAAATTATTGCAGTAACCATCACACCACATTTACTGTATGCTACCATCTTCTTCACTTCTTCTTTAAGTTGGTCAAAAATGTCATTCAGGCCATAAAGTACCCAATTATTTTAATTTTAGTTTTGTCTCCATGTTCACCAAGGGTGGTATAGTAGTTTCGATATTTGGGCTTCAACTCTGGGAGTCTATGGTTTTAATCCTTGGTCATAGGCTGACTCTCACAAGGCAAGTGAGGCTGTCTCACTTAAGACAATGGTGAATCTCTGAATCAATCTTGGCAAGAAAAAAACCACGAGAGGGTTGCCAGATGCTGGAGTAGACTTGAAGGAACATAACAATTGTAATACATTACTTGTTTCAAACAGTTTAAACTACCTTTTTTTTTGAAGTCCAAGGAAACTTTACCATTTAAAATAATAATCTTCTAAAGATTGTTTTAAAAATAGAATGTGGGAAGCATTATCTCAGCCACAAAGAGTCTTCAATTATAAAACAGCATAACAGTTTGTGAATAACAAAAACAGCAGGTGGGAGAAGAATTAAAGTTTTTAAGAAGGACTGAATAAATTAAAAGATATTCACTGGGCATCAAAAGTCAATATATTTGTGTCATAATCCACCAACTTCCTGCCAAGCAAGACTCAAAATGGAGGAGGAGGAGCCCCTAGGTGTCAGAAGAATCCAAAGGACTTAGGGGCAGCCAGGAGTAATGTACTACTTGAGAAGCCCACGTCATTTAGAAGAATCAAAGAACATAGACCACACCCTGCTCCAGCCTCACTCCCTCACTTTCATCAGCAGGACTACCATTGGAAGCCAAATCCAGATTCTGATTACTTTCAGTCTCCAGTGGTTCCCTCCTTCCAGAGGACACCAACCATGGACATGTGCTACACTTCTATGATTTGTCTTCCCTGAATGAATTGGAGCATGCCTAACAATAGCATGAACCAATTCAATCAGTGGAATTTATCTACATGTTGATTAATCAATGATTGAGTTATTTGGTCTACTTTAGTTTGAAATAAAACTAACAAAATTCAATTCAATATGTTTATATTTTGTGTTTAAACACAGAAATAAATACAGAGAGGTATAAACATACACATACACGTTCACACATGCAGACATAATTATTTTTCTATTATATCATCTATGCTTCATGAGTTTTCTGACAAAAAGTCCTGACAACTAAAGCCATTTTTACCTCCTTATCTTTGTTCATTACTGAAGGCACAACACTTGGCCAGATAAGTGTAAATGCACTTATCCATCTGATCCATCAATGCATGTTTTTTGTTGTGATGCAAGCATGAAAGCAGGAGCCATTGAAGGAATATTGCCCTGAAGACCAAGGATTCCATTCCGGTTCCATGCTCTGAATAAATCAGTGTCATTAACAATATTTTAAATGTTTTCAGACATCTGTGGTTATTCTTATGGTTTAAAATAAATTTTATAGAAGGATATGAATCACAAGAAGTAACTCTGGAGCACCAAAAAGAACAAGTTTAAGCAAGAATCCCAATTAAACCTTTTGCTGTTTTTATAAAAGCCACTCAAAGAGGAACAGTGCTTTTATTCCTTCTTTTCAAAGAATATATGCTAGGATTGCCAATTCCACTGAGACAGAGAGAAAAGAGACAGAAAAATTGTTCTCCCCAATACCTCTTTTATTTTTATTTTTTTTTAAAAAAAACAATGATCAGCAAATTTCAAGGTGAATGAGACTTGAATATTGCAAGAATGGTTTCTGCTACTCTGCACTGGGAAAAAGTTATGTAACTGACTTTTTCAACATTGAAATGTGCAACACTTGCATGCATTTTTGCCTTTTGCTGTGGCAGCAGCCTCAAGCATGTTCAAAGGAAACTTAAGTTCCACTAGTAAGTTTTATTTCCAAGTCAGTGGGCTAAAGATGAATAAATAAAACTTGGGTCTTCATATTCATATTTTGAGATTCATATCAATGGAACACTATAAAGTTACATATTTTGCACAACTTTGTGGAATGAATCCCCCATGCAGAGATCAAGACCCTTGATCTCTGCATGGGAGATTTAACCTGTACACTCTTTCTCAGTATGTAGGTTAAATCCATTGCATGTGCATGCAGAAATAAACTTGAAAAATAAACAACAGAATTAGCCTAATGCTGTCTTTCTCTGCAAAGTAAGACTTTGCACCACCTCTATTATAAATTGTATTTATCTATGCATGTCTTCAAGATAACAGACTTCAGAAGCAAGCTTACAATGGAAATATATCTAATCACAACAAGAGGCCAACTCCTACTATCACTTCTGTGCAAACATCCTGTGCAAGAATGTTATATATACTAAATCCCCAGTGGAGAAAATAGAGAGCCAAGATTCAATGTTGGGTTGTATGATATAAATCTGCACACTGGAGTTATGTATTACTGCTGCCATGCAGTTCTTGCATTGCATGGCAATGTTGAAGAACTAAATCAAGTTACCACATGTGAAACTGAAGGCACAATCAAATGCATAATACAATCCCATACACATCTCTACATAATGCTATGTCACTGAATGCACATACATGGTTACCCCAACATTTAACTATATATGGCTTTTCTACATTGGACAAATATACCCAATCATGTTTGTAAAGGAACATATGTATTCGTAAGATGCCAAAAGAATCTTAGCCCAGAGCTCATGGGAAAACCAAAAGAGTCAAACCCTGCCCAACATTTTTCTACATGGGATGTGCCATAACGCCACAATCAGTACAAAGGACTACCACCTCACCCGCCTCATAGGAAACCTGCTACAAAACAGGAGCTTTTTTGTTGAGTTCCAGGGCCAGAGAAGCAGATGGCGGAAACAGAAGAATGGCCTGCCTCAGGGGAGTGTACTTGCGCCATCCATGTTCATCATCTACACAAATGACCAGCCACTGCCAGAAGGGACAGAGAGTTTCATCTATGCTGATGATCGTGCCATTACTGCTCAAGCAGGGAGCTTTGAGATGGTAGAACAGAAGCTTTCCAAAGCTCTAGGTGCTCTTACTGCCTATTACAGGGAAAACCAGCTGAACCCCAACCCATCTAAAACACAGACATGTGCCTTTCATCTCAAGAACAGAGAAGCATCCGGAGCTCTGAAGATCACCTGGGAAGGAATCCTACTAGAGCACTGCAGCGCACCCAAATACCTGGGAGTCACTCTGGACCATGCTCTTACCTACAAGAAGCACTGCCTGAACATCAAGCAAAAAGTGGGTGCTAGAAACAATATCATATGAAAGCTGACTGGCACAACTTGGGGATCACAACCAGATACAGTGAAGACATCTGCCCTTGTGCTATGCTACTCTGCTGTTGAGTATGCATGCCCAGTGTGGAACGCATCTCACCACACTAAAACAGTGGATGTGGCTCTTAATGAGACATGCCGCATTATCACGGGGTGTCTGCACCCTACACCACTGGAGAAATTACACTGCTTAGCCGGTATTGCACCACCTGACATCCGATGGGAAGTTGCAGCCAATAGTGAAAGGACCAAGGTAGAGACATCCCCAGCTCATCCCCTGTTTGGGTATCAGCCAGCACATCAACGACTTAAATCTAGACATAGTTTTCTAAGATCTACAGAGACACTCGCTGGAACACCTCAGCAAGCGAGAGTCCAAAAGTGGCAGGCTCAAACCCAGAACCTCAACCAATGTCTGATACCAAATGAGAGACTCCACCTGGGCACACAAAGGACTGGGCAACTTGGAAGGCACTGAACAGACTGCGCTCTGGCACCATGAGATGCAGAGCCAACCTTCAGAAATGGGGCTACAAAGTGGAATCCTCAACATGCGAGTGTGGAGAGGAGCAAACCACTGACCACTGCTGCAATGCAACCTGGGCCCTGCCACATGCACAATGCAGAAACACCAGAAGCACTCCAAGTGGCCAGATACTGGTCAAAGGACATTTAATTAACTACAAAACTCACAAATTTTGTATTTTGTCTGTTTGTTTGCTTTGTTCTGTTAGAAATGTAATATAATTGACTGGTTGCCCTGACATGACAAATAAAAGTACAATGGCTTACTGTGAATCTGCAACTGGGCTTCAAACCAGAACTTGGAAAGTCTATCTTCTAAGTTCTCCTTTACATAGTAATTGGAATCTATTATTGAGTTAATATCAATGACATGCCATGAAATTCTGTAGAACAAGAAGTGGGTGATAAACCTGCAGCTCAATCCATTCAGTTTTTATCAATAGGCAACTACCTATTGCTTACTGAGGAAAAGAATCTTTTCCAGAGTTGACTTGTATTCCCAATTAAAGATGGGAAAGAGCTTCACAATACATTATATGGTTGCATCATTGCCATATAATATTTATATTTTAAACAGATGGTTAATTATTCCTTTACCTGCCCACCATAGTAAAACTCTTCTGAGTCATTGTCTCCTTCTGAATCTTCTTCAACTGCACTGCTGTGCCTTGATTCCTAGTGAAAAGGAGAGATAGGAAAAGAAGATAGAAAAATAAAATTTATTGAATAGTTTGCCATTTTCTTTTTCATTTGGGAATTATAGACCCTGAGAAGCTGGCTAAGTGCTGGTCTAGATTGCACAAAAAAACCAAAACAAACAAAGACAAACCCAAAACCCCCAAACAAACCCAAAACCCAATCCCAGACTTATCCTTAATGGAAGACTAGATGTCTCCATGAGGCGCAATAATTTCCAGTGAGTATTTCAAGATTTCTTGTTGTTGTTTACATCAGCTTTACCATGATTTGGTCTACTTTGGACGAAGCCAGGGGAAACTCTGGAGTCTACTGAAAACTCTAGAGCAGTGTTTCTCAAACTGTGCTCCTTCAGGTGTTTTGGACTTAAGCTCCCAGAAATCCCACCCACCTTACCAGCTGTTAGGAATTGTGGGAGCTGAAGTCCAAAACTCTGCTTTAGAGTATCTCTGAACTTTGGGCCAATTTAGACATGTCCAATTCTGTCAGATCCACTAACTGGACTGGGCAATGGTAGCATCATGGATGATCACTCTTTCCCTGTGTTGATCAGTGCAAGGTAATGGATTGTGCCCATGTTACTATGGCCAAGCAATTGCAAAGCTTCATTTGAGCTCCTGGCTATTCTTGTACTAGTGCTGATGTCAGAATGAGGCACCCTCATGACCAGTAAGGAGCAATGTGTCTGAAGTGCAGTCTGTTGTATTTGCAGATATTTTCTGTGCAAAACAGAGCCCTGATTTTTCAATGCTTTGGTTCATATAGTGGGTTTTAGATACGACAAGGTTTCCCTGCTTCAGAGGTTGAGACTTAAACCTTTTTCTCCTTGCATGTGGAGTATATACACTTACTGAACATAAGAATAGGGCTTCATTGTTACACTGTCTTCCGAGTACCTGTTCAAATCAACAATGCCAAGCACACAAAATGAAGAGATAATAGTTGCTTAGCTTGATAGCTGAAGCATTTTTCAGGTTCCCCTTAGCAACCATGTGAGCTTAAGTTAAAGCCTATATACACTGAAGGTGTTTTGTATTTCCATACCCTATTCTAGCACAGGCCTGCACATCTGACAATCCACTAGGACAAAAATAGCACAAAGACTGTGTGGGCAGGAGGCACAAGCAAGATAATAAGCTCCTATTGGGATCCACATTGAGCTTGCTGGATCAGAACTTGTACAGGGCTGCCTTAGAAATTATATCAGAGCAAGGAGGGAGAATATTTCTCTTCCAAACAACTACAATTCCCATCGATTTCATCTGGCAAGGCCAATTGTCAGAAATTGTGAGTACTGTAATCTAAAACATCGACTCTTAGAATCTGTATTTCTGATGGAAAGTTATAAAGAATGTAAAGTCAAATATTGAGGTCCATGGACCATTTCCTGGCTCCCAAGATCCTGTGGGGACTAGAGAAGTCTTCAAAAAAAATACCAGAAGGCACTTCCAATTTTGTAATAACACAGCTCAAGATACAAAAATATCCTACAAAAATCTACACAAACATCACAACAATTTATATGGGTTTCCTTATAATTTGGACCACAGCAGCTGGTGGTTTCCATGTCAGTGGTACAATGACTTTTTTCAAAGTTTTAATGCAAACATTAAAGAAACTATCCAGGGTTCTGAAATTATTTGGGGAATAAGATTCAGTTTAAAATTCAGAATGGAATTACCACTCACTGACAGGAAATGACCAGCTACCAGGGGTTGGACCCTCAATATTCTAGATGATATTGAAGTCCCCATAGTCCTGCTTTTCTTGCGCAGAGATTCTCTACCTCTGAAGAAATGAAGGGTCAGGCAATATTGCAGGTATTGAGTAATTACATCTGGATATAGTTATACATTCCATGAGTGCATTCCATTTGGATCACTGTAACACATCCTTGGAAGCAGTTCAGAAAACTCAGTGTGTCCAAACTGTTGTGGCCATGATGTTGACCAAAGCTAGTCACAGGGAACATATAACACCCCAGTTGAAACAGTTTCACTGGCTACCAATTTGTTTCCATGAAGAATTCTAAGCCCTGCTTATGAACTTTAAAGCCCTTGACATCTGGATCCAGGCTATCAAAAAGACTCTACAGCTTGAGCATCCCTTATCCAGAAATCAAAAATTCTCAAAAATTCAAAATTGTCCATATTTGTGAGATAGTGACATATTCGCTTTCTGGTGGTTCAAGAACAAAATTATTTAAAATATTAGAATCACAGAGATGGAAGAGATCATAAGGGTCATTCAGCTGAATGTCCTGCAATGCAGGAACATGCAATCAAAGTGCTTCCAACAGATAACCAAACCAGACTCCATAAGAAAAGACTGATGGCATTAGGTATCCTTAGCCTGGAAGAGATAAGATTAAGATGCACCATCTTCAACCATTTAAAGGGCTATCACGCAGAAGTTGGAATAAATGTCTATACTGCTGTTCCAGGATGTAGGACTCAAACCAATTGATTCAAAGTACAAAATTCTTGCCATTGCTTTGGTACAGGGACTAGGTCATCATTAACCATGAATGTATGATTACAAATTATCTGAGCAAACAGATAGCTACCCCAATTCATAATTGCAAACATGGTGTAAGGTAGATGAAACAGTCTGAATACATGGACAGGCTGAAATTATCTAGACCAGTGATGGCCACTATGCAAACTGCACACCACATGGTGCCTCGAGGCACCCCTGCCACTTTCAAATCATGCTGCCAAATTTCAGCAGAAAAACGGGAAACTCCATTTAAATTTCACAATGTAATGAATGAAAAGACAGTGACCCGCTCTGGCCCCTGAGGAATGAAACTAGGCCCTGGAGTTGTTCACCCTGCTAGAAAAATGTGTAGACATGGCAACTCGCCAGTATAAAACCAAGTATGAAAAAGCTACGAAGACAACACAAGATAATTACCCACTCTAGCAAACAAGAATATACACCAAAGGTCAAATCTGAGCAGTAAACAAAAAGCACAACACAATACTTTGGGTTTATTTTTGGGCATGCAGTGCTTCTGTCAGCAAGATTGAATACATATGTAGTGAACTAAGTAAGCATTCAAACTTATATCTAGTTCATGCAAATATATATAAATTCTAGGCATCAAATTTGATTTCTGTAGGACCCATGGCTTTGACTGGAATTTAGATTCTAGGAAATTAAAAATCTGCTTTTCCACTGCTGCATTTAATATAGCCAGTGCTGGAGAAACTGTTTGCTTATGTGTTTTATCTATTCCTTTATTTGGAAGGAATCTTAGTATTTCTATCATCGGTAGATGGGATAATCAGGGGACTAATGTTTAAATAAGGTTCCATAAACACTGTGTTACATAAGATCCACAGAGATTATAACTAGCAATGTCCGATCTTTCATGTTTAGATAATTACTACACTATTCTCTATATTATAATCTTATTGCCTGTATATCCTTTTTGACCAAAACCATGTTGATTAGATGATTATACACACTTCATTCCTGTCACAGATCTGTCACTGAATGGAAATCAGCATGGTGAATTGAAGATGGGTGTCTGAAGGGAATCTGCTCAAAATCACATTCTGTTTCTAGGCAATCGCCACAATTTAGGAGTATTATTCAATTTTTTAAGTTGTCCTCAAAGTTCATGCTTTCTAGTTCATGTGTACAGACAGGAAAACCATGCTGTTAGGCACTATTAAAGAATGGACTTTTTATATATTAGAAAAATCAGCAATTTTAGGAAAGGAGTGGGATTGATTTTATTTTAATACTTTATTCTCTCCTTACAAATGGTCTTAACAAGAGTGAGATTTATTTTATTTTCTCCCTATAAATGACCTTAACAAAATATAATAATGTTGTAACATTTACAGTTTTATAAAATGAGGAAACTGTTCCAAAGAAAGCAGTGGCTCCCAGCCTGTGGTTCATGGACCATATGGAAAATATGGTACACGGCCTCACCAATACTGCACCGTTGTCTTGAAACCACACAGCAACAAGAGCGACTGGTATCACAAAACCCTCTTATAGTGCCGAGGCAATGGGGATGTTGGAAGGGGAGAAGCTGACTATCTCCAAAAGATTACTACAACCTCATCAACTCTAGATTATTAAATATGGTTTTCTGTGGGTGAGCAAATGGCGACTATTGGATGGCATATGTTCTGTACCAGAAACTAGAGCTGATGTGGTCTATCCAATGCAATTTTTTGAATCAGTACCCCCACATAACCAAACCAAATCTAAAGTTGACCAAAAACCGATTTGTAACTCTTTTGGTACTAATGTTGGAGAGTGGTCCCTGGTCAAATAAAGGTTGGAAACCACTGAAATAGAGTATCACTACAAGTGACTGAGGCTCCTTCTATACTGTCCTTATATCCCAGGATCTGATCTCAGATTATCTGATTATCCCAGATTATATATCACTGGAGACTCATATAATCCAGTTCAAAGCAGATAAACTGAGATCAGATCCTAGTATATAAGGACAGTGTAGAAGGGGCCCGAATCATGGAGATCATCATCATCATTATTATTATTAACTTTATTTATACCCCGCAAAATCTCCCGAAGGACTCGATGCGGCTTACAAAGGCCAAGGCCACCAACAAAACAACAGCATACAAATATAACAGTAAAACTCATAAAGCAAATAATAAAACATCAAGCAAAACAATAAAACACTAAAAACAATAACACCTTGACACATTTAAAACCTAAGGCCGGGCCAAATGTAATAGACAAAATTTTAAAAGTGCTGGACTTGACAGGTGATATGTTGAGGTAAGTGCAATGTGCAGACAATCCTAAATTTCTGACAAGGTGCATTTGGGACATGATGCACACTGGAAAGGCACACTGGAACAGCCAGGTCTTCAGGCTCTTCCTAAAGACTGCCAGCGTTGGGGCTTGTCGGATGTCCTTGGGGAGAGAGTTCCAGAGTCGGGAGGCCACCACAGAGAAGGCCCTGTCCCTCGTCCCCACCAGATGCACTTGCGACGCCGTTGGGATCGTGAGCAGGGCCTCTCCAGATGATCGAAGGGAACGTGTGGGTTCGTATGTGGAGATGCGGTCATGCAGGTAGGCAGGTCCCAAACCATTTAGGGCTTTGTAGGTGAGCACCTGCACCTTGAATTGGGATCGGAAAATGAACGGAAGCCAATGGAGCTCCTTAAACAGGAGCTAAATGTAACTAAATGTAACTCTTTCTCAGTTCTTACCAAAATTGGGATTTTTTTCCAGGTATGGCTGTATTTGTTTATTGTTAGTTTTTGGACCAGTGTGTGTGTGTGTGTGTGTGTGTGTGTGTGTGTGTTTTAAAAAAAGCCCTTTCCCAACTATCCTAAGTCAGTCTGGGAGCAAAGGTTGGAGCTCTCAGAGAAAGAAAAACCTGATACTTCTGGGGACGCAGGGTGTTGTCTAAATTGATGGGCTATGCAGAGTTTCAGGTAAGCTATTTCTTCAGTTCTACCTGGAGGTGACAGGGAGTAAGGTGGATTTTTGTATGCAAACATATGTCCTATAGCGTATCTCTGAAAATGATACTGACCTAGATTTTGGTCTGCAGTACTAGAAATTCATGCAGAGAAAGAAAAGAAAGCAGATTTTTGTGTCACCTTGAAGACTAACACATTTATTCTAGTTTCTTCTTTTAGAAACAAGATCATCTAATCATCAGGAAGAAATGCTTGGTTTACAATGATTGACAGTTTGTTTATACAACCAAAATAATAGAACTGCAATTCTGATAATTTCTTTTGAAAAAAAAAATGAAGATCTTCCTTGGGCCTAAAACAGTGCAAGGAAGTGAAAATATGATAAATATTTCTTCCAGAACAACTAGAGAACATTGAAGAACATTTATCTGCAAAAACTGGGATTTTATTTGCAGTGGGGTTACGGGGGAGCTAAGGTAGCCCCATAGCCTCGTACAGTTGCCACCCACCCCACAAATGATTGTGGTGCATGTTTACTACGTTTCATTCCAAATGCTGGACATGCGGACCAGCATATCATTAAAAAATGATGTCTTTGTTTCACAAATGCTTCCATTCTTGAACCCAAAAAAAGGAAGGGGGCAAGCGTCCTCCACATTGGCCTCTACACAAAACAGGATACCACACTGGATAGGTCTCTGGTCTGATCCAACAAGGCTCTTAAAAGTATATGTATTTGTGTACATATTTATTTTTGAACATGTCTGTTTTGGGCATATATTTAAGATTACAAACCCATTCTTAGAGGTTTTTACTCTTATGAGATAGTGCATGTACAAATCCAATGAGCATCAGATTGCCTTATTCACTTCAGTGGCACAGTCAATGGTGTGGCTTTTAAAAGTTGAGCACACAATCCATTAGATAAAGGCCAATGTCTGAGTATTTTTGTGGCTATGTCAACTTGGAGAAAGTGTATTATCCAGCTCTCCATCTTGTTATAGTCTTGTCTCTGCTCCGTTAGTTGAAAATCATCAAACAGTACCATACCTCTCCATTTTCTCTTTGTAACTTCGATTTTATGGATAAACAACAGTTGACATCACTGGTTTTTCGTAATTCTATAAAAAGAGGGAGAAAGAAAGAAAAAAGAAGACAAAGTTAACAGGCAGTAAATGCAAATTTCTTTTTAGTCTGTGATACTACACTTTGATATAAACAGAACAGAACCATAACTTGTAGATGTTATTATTTGCCATTGGCTTAACTTACATGAACACCCATTTATTTCTCTTTTTGTCAGTCTATGGAATCTTGAGAATGCTCCTCCACTGAAACATTTTAAATGAATTGATATTCTTCCTATAGCATTTTCACTGTCTAGCTTGAACGGTTATGCATAGAAACTGGAAATGCAATTGATTCTGACTTTGGTATTTAACAATTTTTCTTTATACTTCAAAATCTCATTTATCTTTACACTTGGGAATCTTATCTAGAACCATAACTACAGCATACAACAGTACTGTCTGTCCATCTAGCTCAGTTTTGGCAGCAGAATCTCTGCCAGAGGCTTCAAGTATCTCTGGCAGAGGTCCTTCACACCACCTACTGTCTAATTTGTTCAATGAAAGATTCCAGGAGTGAAATCTGGGAACTTTTGGTACGCTCAGCATGTACTCTGTGAATGAGCTATGACCCCCCCCCCCCTTTCCAAACTAAAATACTGAGTTATGTAGAACACAGGGTTCTAGAACATATGGCAAGGCCACTCTATAGCAGTGCATAGAAATAGGTTTTGACCAATACAAAATGATGAGTAATTGGTTCAATTCGCCAATAACTATGGTATGAACGACTTTACTTTATTACTGTAAGCTGACCATTTTATTATTGTAATTGTGGTCTAATATGTCTTGAGGATGCAACAAAGTACATGGGAAGCAGGTTTCTTCTGTATCAAAAGCTAGTGGCTTGTAGTACTCATGCAGATGTACTTACCCAAATCAATTAAAAGGTTGCCGTTTTGTGTTTGGGCAGATCTTTTTTTATGTATTGGAGATACAAGATGGGTGTTTTTTTAAAAAATGGTAACTACAATGGTAAACAACTATGCTGAACCTTGGAACTATTACAGTAGTTGATTTCTTTTTTTCCAGATAAGCTTTCCAAGGGCTCGTCTAACTAACAACTGATTATATTTACATCTTCCCATTTCGAGTGGAACTATTTAAAAAATCTTTTTCATACATATTGCTTCCATCTATTGAGAATCACATTCCTGCACTGTGGCTGCCAGAAACATCTGGTAGGCACATAGGGTTCCGGTGATTATCTTTGTGACAAGTCACTTAAAATGTTAAAAAGAAGTTGTGAATAATCCACTACAGGGAAGACATTTTCAGAAGCGTTCTCCTTGTCCTAAATGTAAAATACCAGCTCTGAGCAAATATATCCTTATAAATTTCACTTTTCATTTTCCCCACCAGCTAGTGTTAGCTGTGCTATTTTAAAATTAATGAAAACTGAAACCACATTTAAGTTGTTGATTTTAATTACAGCTCATGTAAAACTGAAAAAAAAAAGAATTCCAAATGTAGTCTGCATTTTTATTTACAGAGAGAAAATAATGCATATTTACCCTTGATGTAGAAAAATGCAAAATGTAAAACAGACAAAGAGCACTGCATCAATTTATAGCTCTTGTCCAAGAATATGGGTATTCGAATAGTGCAATCCTATACAAAAGGTTTTAGGATTACATTCTAAACGTATTTTTTAAAAAAATTACTGTATGATTTTAAACCAGTCCATACTCCAGGAAATAATGCCAGGCTGCTCACTGGAGGGAAGGATATTAGAGGCAAAGATGAAGTGCTTTGGCCACATAATGAGAAGACTGCAAAGCTTGGAGAAGATAATGATGCTGGGGAAAATGGAAGAAAAAAGGAAGAGGGGTCAACCAATGACAAGATGGATGGATGGTATCCTTGAAGTGACTGGCTTGACTTTGAAGGAGCTGGGGGTAGCAACCGCCAACAGGGAGCTCTGGCATGGGCTGGTCTATGAGGTCATGAAGAGTTGGAAGCGACTGAACAAATAAACAACAACAACGGTTTAAGACCACTCCTCAAAGTTAGAGCCAAATACTAAATGCTATGTGGAAAACCTTTGTGTGTTTAACACTAATTAGCTAATGCAATCTTCCTTGTTCCTAATAACTGCCATGTGGCATTTACTGGTGAGTCAACCAGATGATCTGTCACCTCATTCCCCAATACATTTATTATTCTATGCCTTTAAGTAATTTCCGAGTTGTTGTGACCCTAAGGCAAAGATATCCATGGGCTTTCTTGACAAAATATGTTGAGAGGTGGGTTGCTCTTGCCTTCCTCTAAGGCTGAGAGAATGGCAATTCCAAGATTACCCAGTGGATTTCATATCTGAATAGAGATTAAAAATCTGGTCTCCTAAGGCCCAGTCCAATACAGCAACCACTACACCACATTTCTGAAGTTGCATTCTAATCCTAAATAGGAAGAAATTTGGAGTTCTTAATACCTGACTGGTATTTTTTTTTTTGAGGTGACCATTACATGCCCCTGAAACTCACACTCAGTTACAACTCTAGCATTTATATCAAGTTCTGCCTTAATCTTTTGCTTGGAATAGTACATATCTTCTATCCTTGTGTGCCCTTCTCCAGTGCTATGCAACTGATTGTCCTCATACTAGTGTCACTTCATGAAAAATTAGATGCTGGACCACAACAAATTTCCAAGAAAGAAAGAGGTGTAGCCTATGGATACAAAGAGGAGGGAAGGGGATTTGCTTGTCTGTGGCATCATTATCTTAAGGAGCACTTTTTTACTCTATTCAGAACTAGCTATTTCAGTGCTTAGAAAGCTACTTTTAAATATAATGCATTTCATTAAATGATCCATAACATAGAAGTTGAAGAATTTATTTATTTATTTATTTGCTTTATTTCTATACCGCATTTTTCAGCCTAAATCGGAGACTCAATGCGGTTTTATGTGTTGCAATTATGCAATTACTCCCAGATCATCATTCTACTATTACACAGTCTAAGGACCGGGACAACCATAAGGAGACCAAGGTGCTTGTTTATAAAGCTATTGTCCTCCCAACCCTGCTATACACCTGTAAAACGTGGACTATCTACAGACATCACACTCAACTCCTGGAATGATTCCATCAGAGTTGTCTCCAAAAAATCCTGCAAATCTCTTGGGAAGACAGGCGGACAAATGTCAGTGTGCTGGAAGAAGCAAAGACCACCAGCACTGAAGCAATGTTCCTATGCTATCAACTCCTCTGGACTGGCCACATTGTCCGAATGCCCGATTACCATCTCCCAAAGCTACTATACAGTTACTATACTTCCAACTCAATAATGGAAAACGTAATGTTGGTGGACAGGAAAAGAGATTTAAAAATGGTCTTAAAGTCAACCTTAAAAACTGTGGGATACTGGGAAGCCCTGGCCGTTGAGCACGCTAACTGGAGGTCAGCTGTGACCAGAAGTGCTGCAGAATTTGAAAAGGCATGAAGGGAGGGTGAAAGAGAGAAATGTGCCAAGAGGAAGGTGCGGCAAGTCAAACCTTCCACATGGAAAGCAATGTCCTCACTGCAGGAGAACATGCAGATCAAGAATAGGGTTCCACAGCCACTTACGAACCGAATCCCAAGAGACTAGACTTGGAGGACCATCATCCTCTGGCTATGAGGGATCATCTAAACAAGTAACTACATAGTTATGGATGGCTTCAGCATATCCTTACATTTACTGATCTAAAACTGGATTAGAAACTGTGTTACCCACATCTCCCATGTGGCCCATAAATGTCCTAGTGTAGCCTCTAGCACAAACTGAAAAACAAAGGTAGCCTAAAGGCAATTAAGTTGGTTGGGAGTCCCTTCCACAGTTCATGATTATTCTATTCGTGGCTGATCTTGTACCAAAATCTAGAATGCAATTTAATAGCCTAAAGGTATTTAAAGGCAATTAAGTTGAGAAGATTCAGTGTAAGCACATAGATGACCTAGCCTAATATTTGCTGGTGATTTGTTTGTTGTTTTGACAAGTGTTAAGGAAGACTGAACAGATCTTTTTTGCTTTAGATTGGGGAAATATAAGAACCTCAAATATAAGAGTGAAGTTCAGTCTACTGTATACGATGCTTAATATAAAACAATTTAGTTATTTGTGTTACCTGTAGAAATTCGGTGAAAAATCACTGGAATTGGCTCTGTTGTAACTAATACATCTTCATCATTATCTGAACTGGACACGTAGGTATTGTCTGTAATAGGGAGAAGAACAATATTCAGTGTACATATGAGGACTAATTGCAAACTCCATAAGGACTCCCCAGTCACATATTACAAAAGGAGAAGGGGAAAGGGGGAGGAAAATTAATTTCTCTATTTTAGGATGAAATAGTTTATAACTGCTCATCTCTTCTGCATGGCTGGGAGTCCCTTCCACAGTTTATGATTATTCTATTCATAGCTGATCTTGAACCAAAATCTAGAATGCAATTTAATTTTTATGGGAATGACAGAATCAGACTTATGCCAACACCCAGTTCTGCAAACCTTTGTACAGAGCAGAAAACTCACAGCAACCCAAACCTTTGTACTTTATCAGAACTCACACAAGGAGTCATTGGTTAGCTACTTCCTTGCTCAAGAGGTGTCTCTGCTCTCCACTTACATACTAACGAAATGCAGATCTATCTCCAAATGAGCCAAGACAACCATAGATTTGCGTAAAAAGGTCCAACAAGCTCTAACAAATACCAGAAGAGTCTAGCACTGTTCTTGGCTCTACTGGGTGCCTCTCTCCTCCTTCCTAAGCCCAAGAGCCAGGGCAAGTACACTTCTAGAGCTTTTCATTCTGTTTGCCTGATACTGGATTTCAGTCTATGAAAAATACTCTTGAAAAATACTGCTTGAGGACTGAGGGACACTCGAAGAGTGTGGAGAAAGATCTTCTGTGTTGCGGCACCATGGTCAAGCCATAACTCATGCTCACCTTGACACCAGGTTGAAGTACAGCTTTTAGGAACTAATACTTTTATCTAATTTGTTCATGTACATGGTTTAAACGGTTTCTGTATTTTTATGTCATTATATAGTTTAATATGATTTTGACTGTGCATTATTTTTTGCCATTATTCTATTTCAAATTTGATTTTATTCTATTGTGCTTTTAGGCTTTTAGATAAAGGTCAGCATACAAATATTTTAATGTTTATGTGTCTTCAAATCTCATGTTGAAGACAAATAAACATATTGACTCATACCCCATGAATTGAATAGAGTTTTCTTGGGCAGAAAATATGCAGAGATGGTTTGCTATTTTCTTCCTCCAAAATACAGAAGACCTCATAACTGTGCAACACGCAACTGCGATTTCACTTACCCACAAATGGGAAAAATGATTTCTCTAGGAATTTACTTTGTCTTCCAGAAATGTACTAGGTCCTCCAGGTGATTCTATAGTATGCTTCTACCAGAAGTTAGCTTCCATCAGAAGCTAACTTCCACTTCCACCAGAAGTTAGCATAAAATTGCATTGGAGGATATAGCAAATTACTAGAGGATACCTCTCTAGGAATATCTAGGTTGTCCATTGCAATTGTAAGGTATTCTGGGACCAAAAGTAAGCTAATTTAATGATGTTCAGTTGTTTCCATTGTTTTAGGCAATTGTGCTTCAGCCAGGAAACCAATCCTTGTGGATATGGTTTGTTGTTGTTGTTTTTTTACTGTATTACCTTACTGCATTACTTGGTATTCCTTTGAGTGTTTAACATCCAAGTACTATCAGGACTGTCTGCTTAACTTTCAAGATCAGGTGGGATCTGGTGCCTCTGGATGTTTGGGTATTTGTGTTAATATTTTAATAACTAAAAGAAACAAGAGAACAACCTATTGCTAGTTTTTGCAAGCATCTGTCTTTTTCAGCAGTAGAAATTATTGATAGAGGGAAGGACTATTCTCTCATAGGGTTCAAAATCCTTCATTGATAGGGAGGCATCCTGAATTCAAAGAAAAAAGCAGGTAACAAGCAAATATAAATATTAACTGGCATCAATGAAGGTGTGCCCAGAGAGGCAGCTGCATGGAGTAAGAGTCAAAAGGCCAAACAGTCAAAACGCCTTTTTCTTTTCTCTGACGGATATGCGGTAAAAGCATACTCAATAACCCATTTTATAGATTTAGGCTGCAATCCATAACCCACTTAGCTGTGGCTATATACTATATTTTACCCCCTGTTCATTGATTTCCAGTCCCATTTGGAAACTTGAAAATGCTTTTTCTAAGCCCATTTCTCTTCAATCTGGCAGCCAGTTATTTGCTTAACCCCTCCGAAGGATATATTGAAACTTAAAACAAAGGTACCTATTATTTTTTTTGTTTACTTCATCTTCTCTCTAGGAGAGCATGACCTGATAGCTGGCAAACAGCCCTGACCAATTCCCTCAAATGTGGTGTTCTGTCCTTCCTGACCTAACTAAATGACCGAGCCTCTCAGACAGAAGTCCATTACTGATGGCAAATAGGAAAGAGGTTTGGGTCTCAGAAACTCTCTTGCGAGTTAATAAAGTGATTAGCATAAAGACAGAAATGTTTCTGCAAACTAGATCTGTTGGCCAGCATTACCTTGCCCACTTATTCATTAGAACATGCTCCGTACACTGTAATGACTCCTAAAGGAGTCATAGTGCTATGTTGTATTGATTCTCAGTAATGGAACTTTTTAGTCTCCAGACTGTGTATTGCAAGCTTTCCTTTTCCTGGAGTACAGGCCTCTTTTCTTTGTATCACTCTCATAAAGATTTATTTTCTGAAATTTGTACAAACTTAATATTAAACTACTAGCCTGCTTCTGATATAATTTTGCAGGCTTTGTCTTGACTGAGTTGTTGGGCTTGCAAAATTATGTCAGAAGCAAGCCAGCAATACAATTATTATTATTATTATTATTATTATTATTATTATTATTATTACTATTATTATTATTATTATTATTATTATTTCTTACCCACCTCTTCTCATGGCTCGAGGAGGGTTACAGAATAATTAAAACAAATAAACATTGCAAAATATCACAAATACACATATTAAAATATATTTCTTTAAAATACACATTAAAATACAATATAACATTAGGTTTGAACAAATTTCAGAAAAGAAATCAGTTTAAATTCTTGAGACTAGCTCTTGTTGAATTATAGCATAGAAACACAAATTTTGGAGAAAAATTGAATGATAATTCCAAAATTCTTCCCAGTCAGCATTAACACCAGGTATTCCAAGAACTGTTGTCTAAAACATAAGTTTCTCAAGCTCTGGGTATATGTCAGCCTGATGCATTAGATGCTTTGAACAACATCTCTTATCCTCAGCAAGGAAGATGCTGTTCAAAAATCCTTTTGCCTTACTCATGATTCATCATTAATAAATCCCAAGGGCTCACCTCTCTCTCCTCCCCCATCTTTTGTGAGTCACAAGACATGGAAGGAGGATGACGGGGCCCCGAGCATAAGGCATGGTTGTCCCCATCATAGGCAATGACACTAGAGGAGAGGGGTGGCAGTTGGATTCATGCCAGCATAGTCAAACTTAGTTTGACACAGCTGGCAATAGAGATGTCTTGCCACTGGCTAGATGGCTCAGGGCTACAAAGCAGGGAAGAACCAGCATTTCAGATGATAGTCTGCTTTATTTGTCAGTGTAGAAATGCCCTCAGTTAGCAGGAACTGTAAGTAAGCTGAGGAGAAAGAGAAAAGTTGGAGGAGGAGGGAATAGCTGTGGGTGCATCTAGACAGCCCTTTAAAAGTGGGAACTCCCACATTTCAAAGCGGGGTGTCCAGATAATGTACCACAGAAAAGTGATTGCATTCAAAACAAAGCAGGAAAACCCTACTTTGTAACGAATGAATTTGTTAGTGGGTTTGTTCCGGGCCTTCTTGAACCCACTATTTCTGCTGTCTGGACTGCTCTCTCAGAAGTTCTGGTCTTCTGAAGGGGCCGTCCAATAGCTGTCTCCCATTTCCTGGGCTGAATCAGACCCAGGAAACGCGAGAGGGCTCTAACCCTCTCCCCCACCCTCCAACTCCCCTTTTACAAATAAAAGAGCTTACCTGGCCTCCATTATTGTGGTACCAGAGCTCTCCTGGCATGTAGAAATGATGTGCCAGGAGAAGGGGGGCAGGAACAATTTTCCTCCTCCCCCCTTTCTCCTGGAGCACCAGGAGAGTTCAGGAACCATGCTAATGGAGGCCGGGTATGCTCTTTCATTTTTAAAAGAGGGTTTTTTGGGGGGGGAGCGGGCTGTCTCCCTGTTGTCCAGGTAGGTACTGGGAGAACATGTAGATAGTACATGTGGAAACCATGGGCTTCTTTGGTAGTATCCAAACTATAGTTCGCCCCAACCCGGTTTTTTAAAACCCGGGTTAAAGCGGACTTTACCACTTTGTGGAACCACCCTGGGACATTAAAAAAAATGTTGAAAAAGTGAGACAACATAGGATTAACTGGAAATGTTTCTGCCAGATCAAGACACTTGTAGGCTATGGGCAGAGCATGCCCTTTTTCCAGCAGTATAAAAGTTCAGTGTTCCTAAATGGACACCGAGTTCTGCTTTTGTTTACAGTGCAAATTTATAGGGAATCCTGCATCTATGGGCCCTTCCACACAGCTATATAACCCAGAATATCAAGGTAGAAAATCCCACAATATCTGCTTTGAATTTGGTTATCTGAGTCCGCACTGTCATCCATTCCAGTTCAAAGCAGATAATGTGGGATTTTATTCAGCTGTGTGGAAGGGACCTATATCCCCTTCATTCCAACAATAAAAGATACCAACTGAAACTCCACCTTTCTCTGTCACTATCAGGTGGAAAGCACAGCAATCTGCTAGCCATGTTGATGATCAGATAAATCACCGTGATGAAAATAGAAACCATTGTATGCAAACACACATAACTCTTGCCAAGAATCAGTGTTGGTCTGCTGGGTTTTGGAGTCTTTACAACGCAATGTTTTTATGTGTTTTCAGGTGAACTATAAATCATCCTTCCACATTTAATGGGGTGAAGAGCGCAGGACCCTTATGAAACTGGAAAAGCAACAAGTGAAAAAAACACTTTTTAAAACCTGAGTGAACATCTCTATAGGTATCTCTAGGTCCTCCACTGTGAAACTATGGTCAACTCACAATAGAATTGTTCTGGAGGACCTATTCATGCTTAGTTGTTCCTTCTTGAAATCTCTAGGTGACTCTATAATTAACTTCCTAGGGGGGATCCAGGCAGGCTTTTATCCCAGGAAAATATGTGTTTTAAAAACACAGATCTTCCTGAGAGTCTGTTCACCCCCCCCCCCACCCCACCCCAGAAAGCGCAAACTTTCTGGGGTGGGTGTCCAGATGCTCTCGCGGGACTGGCCTATGTGATCATATGGAAGCCTTACCCCCCCCCCTCCCCCGAAGCCCCCAGAACCCTTTGAAAAGTAAAATAAACTTACCCGACCTCCAGTACACTTTTGGATCAGCTGTCCCGGTGCACAGAAATGACATGCCAGGAGAGCAGGGGGGAGCGATTTTCCTCCTCCCCCTCCCATTCTCCTGGTGTGTCATTTCTACAAGCCAGGAGAGCTACTCCAAGAGTGTACTGGATGCTGGGTAAGTTTTCTTTACTTTTCCAAAGGGTTTGGGGGGAGGGTATTACCACAGTGTTCCAGACTTATTTAGTCTGGAAAACTGTGGGAATTGTATCTGGACTGCAGTCCAGACACCAGAAATAGTTGCTTTATCCCATGCCTTCCAAGAAGGTGCGGAATAAATCCACTATCTAATTAATTCGCTACAAACCAGGGTTTTCCTGGTTTGTAGCGAATTAATTCAGGGCTGTCCAGAACATTGTCTGGACAGCCCCTTCTTTATTGCAGGAGTTACCATAATAAAGGTAATGTCTGGATGGGCCCCTAGAGATGCCTAGAGATAATATATTAATTAAACTGGTGAATAACCACATCTACAAAAAATGAAATCTTCAGGTGTGGAGGGTTGACTGTCCAGTAGAATAGATTCTAATGCAACATAATCTAAACCAGATTGCTCTTCCTTATTTCATCCCAGGGCATCATGGAAATGTTACTTTCAACATCTAGTAAGATCACTCTCTTTCCCCCGTCTTACAGTCTGTGTTTATTTTAGTTTTTGCCATTCCTAATGAAGATATTTTGGAGATTTTGCACACCATTTTATCTCGTGGGGGTTGGTCTAATAACACCGTTGCACTACTATTGTGCTTTGGATTATCTCTCAACAGACAATTTTTTTTGCTTTTTGAATGACATGAAGACACTCTGTATAGTTTAAAAAATGATCAGAGATTGAGCTCTTTTAGTTAACATTGTCAGTAGAACACCACATCAATGAAGATTGCAGGCTGAGAAAAATCTCTCTCTTACCCACCCACACACCACATTCCTCCTTCTATGAATTGGATTCTTTCATTCCCAGCCTGCTTACAAAATGAAGGCCCAAAAAGCAGAAGTAACTAAAGGAAGCAAATGAAATTGCTAATGAAATGTGATTAGCACAAAGGTGAAACAGGGTGCAATAATGGAGTTTCAAATGCCTTTCGCTGAATCCTTTTTTTTTAAAAAAATGGCAACAGTACATGGAAAGTAGCACTTTACCTGGATAATCCTCAGAGACGTGCACTGAATAGGATATGCTGTTTAAAAGAAAAGAGAAAAAAAGATAAGGGAGGACGTAAGAGAAGCTGAAGAATAATTGCACTGAACTTGTCCATAGTTATTTATAGTTTTCTGACAGTTCTGTAAGACAGCCACTTTGACAGCTTTCAAAACGCTTAGTGCAAATAAATAAATAACCAAATTCCAAGTTAACAGCATGAGGCATTCATCCAAAAATACAAGAGTGGAGGGGGAAGGTGGGCACTGGGCAGGGAGGCAGAAAACATAGGTTGTTGGTCTGATTCTTGGTAGTGTTTCTTACACCACTGGCTTCTCTCTGTCTCGTTTAAGATTTATTTTTATTCCTAAGGGGAAATGTATTAGGGCTACAACCTACAAATCACTTTCAAAATTCTTTCCTAGATTTATGAATTCCTTCAGGGCTCCTTGTCTAGAGTCTGCCATACGAGAACTGCTGTCTTTGGTCTCCCAGCCCCAGTGGATTTTACTCAAGAGCACCCTGTCCCTTCAGTGGCAGCTGTACTTCATTCATTGCCTTTAGGGAGGGCTCTGCTGGTCTGCTCATTTATTGAGATTTGATAAAGTGGATACCATTAGTTTTCCTACAAACTCTTTGCCTTATTCTATCTTTGCAAAGAAGATTTCATTTCTGTTTCTCATGAGACAATCTCCACCAAAGAACATATATGGGAGGCTGAACTACTTTTGTTTGCTTGTTTTAACTGAAAAGATTGAGTTTTAAAAGAATTTGTAATTTGGTATTCTTAAGCCTATACAAACATGGAAGTGTGTGCTTTAGGTAAGGATAGTTTTAGGGCCCTTCCACACAGCCATATAACCCAGAATATCAATGCAGAAAACCCCACAATATCTGCTTTGAACTGCGTTATCTGAGTCCACACTGCTATATTTTCCAGTTCAAAGCAGATATGGGATTTTATTCAGCTCTGTGAAAGGGGCCTTAGGTAATGGGATGAAGACATTTTGCTCCTGATTTCTATAGTGCCAAATATCCATGGGGAATATGTTTCTGGACTTTGCACAGATACACAGAACCATAAAAAAAATAGTGAACCCTACTAGATGCAGGCGAAACAACAGGCAAAAATGTTTCTAGAACATGGCCATACAGCTTAAAAAACCTACAACAACCAGTGAACCCTATTAAAATGAAGGACATGTTGCCCAGTAATACCATAGGAAATTCTAGAGGACCCATAAAATACCCAGAGAGGCCATTAATGATTGGAAGTAATTAAATTAAATGGTGGATACTGGCCCATGGCTAAAGGGGCCAGTATTGATTTTCTGCTTTTCTTGAGTCTCCCAGCCAATAACTTTCATGGTTAGCTTTTTAGTTAGGGATCAGAGGCTGCACTGGAAAAGAGGCAAAAACATATCTAGAATAAGTAATATTCTGCACAAACATTTCTAAATTCCACACATTACCTGTGGAACAATATTCAGCATACTTGCTTTTGACACTACTATTATTTGTCCACATTTTTTAAAAAAATTATTTATACTTCAGCTAATATTCTGCTTTGAAACTTAAACATTTGGAACTCTACAAGAATGCTAAGAGGCTTCTTAGGCGTCTTCCACACAGCTGTATAAAATCCGCATTGAACTGGATTACACGGCAGTGTGGACTCAGGTAACCCTATTCAAAGCAGATATTGTGGATTATCAACTTTGATGTTCTGGGTTATACAGCTGTGTGAAAGGGCACTACATTCTCTCTTTTTTTTGGGGGGGGGGGTTGCATTCCTATTATTTCCATCCATTCATTAATTTCAGCTTAAATTTGTTTATAGAATGTAATATCATCTTTAGCCACTAGATGCCAGACCATTTCTAACCAGGAAAAACAAAGTTTTGATTCATTTTTTCATAGAATATAGAATCATAGAATCAAAGAGTTGGAAGAGACCTGATGGGCCATCCAGTCCAACCCCCTGCCAAGAAGCAGGAATATTGCATTCAAATCACCCCTGACAGATGGCCATCCAGCCTCTGTAAAAGCTTCCAAAGAAGGAGCCTCCACCACACTCCGGGGCAGAGAGTTCCACTGCTGAACGGCTCTCACAGTCAGGAAGTTCTTCCTCATGTTCAGATGGAATCTCCTCTCTTGTAGTTTGAAGCCATTGTTCCGCGTTCTAGTCTCCAAGGAAGCAGAAAACAAGCTTGCTCCCTCCTCCCTGTGGCTTCCTCTCACATATTTATACATGGCTATCATATCTCCTCTCAGCCTTCTCTTCTTCAGGCTAAACATGCCCAGTTCCTTAAGCCACTCCTCATAGGGCTTGTTCTCCAGACCCTTGATCATTTTAGTCGCCCTCCTCTGGACACATTCCAGCTTGTCAATATCTCTCTTGAATTGTGGTGCCCAGAATTGGACACAATATTCCAGGTGTGGTCTATCCAGAGCAGAATAGAGGGGTAGCATTACTTCCCTAGATCTAGACACTATGCTCCTATTAATGCAGGCCAAAATCCCATTGGCTTTTTTTTTTGCCCCCACATCACATTGTTGGCTCATGTTTAACTTGTTGTCCACGAGGACTCCAAGATCTAGAGGACCTCTACCAATCACAATGAGCCCTTCCACACAGCCCTATACTCCAGAATATCAAGGCAGAGAATTCCACAATAACTGCTTTGAACTGGATTATCTGAGGGCCTTTCCAGGCAGGGCTTTATCCCAGGAGCATCCACATTTAAAAATACAGATGTTCCTTGGGCCCTGTCCACACTCACCACAGAAAGTGTGCACTTTCTGGGATTGGTGTCCAGATATTGTACTGGGACTTCCCAGTACAACACTGGGACACTTAACTTCCTTCCCAGAAGGCCACCTAAACACAGTAAAAAAGCAAAAGAACTCACTCTGCCTCCATGTGATGACTGCCGGAGTTCTCCTGGCACGTACAAATGACACATCAGGAGAAAGGGGGGGAGCAGGAGCGAGTTTCCTCCACCCCCTTTCTCCTGAAGTTCATTTGTATGTGCCAGGGGAACTCTGGCAGCCATTGCATGGAGGCAGAGTAAGTTCTTTTGCTTTTTTACTCTGTTTACTGGAGCTTCAAGGGAGAGGGTGGTATTCCCACAGTTTTCCGGGCTAATTTAGCCTGGAAAATTGTGGGAATACTGTCTGGACTGCAGTATTCTGCTGTCCAGACACCAGAAGTAGTAGCTTTATCCTGTGCCTTCCAAGAAGACACAGATTAAACCGACTATCAAATCAATTTGTCACAAACCAGGGTTTTCCTGGTTTGTGGTGAATTAATTGCGGGTTGCCCAGAACATTGTCTGGACAACCCTTAGCCTTCAGGGGCTGTCTAGATCCTCCCCAAGTCCACATGTGGGATTTTCTGCCTTTATCTAGAATATGGGTTGTGTGGAAGGCCTCAATGTTTTCTTTTTCAGGGTCCCCAAACTCTTCAAACAGTTAAGAAAGTTTCAGAGAGAAAAAACAAAAGAGAAAACACTGCTGACTTACTGGGAGGAAAGGGATTTGAGGAAGGGTTGGATGACTGCAAGGAGACAGAAAGCAAGAATACTGATGCCCCTTCTACAGTCCTAGATAAAATCCAGATTATCTGCTTTGAACTGGATTATATGGCAGTGTAGACAAAGGTAATCCAGTTCAAATCAGAGAATGTGTATTTTCTGCTTTGATAACTTTTATTATCAGACAGTGTAGAAGGCGCCTGAGAAAGACGTGAAAAAGAAGAGAAATGTGATATGGAAAGAATGATAAAATGAAGGCATGAGGAAGGGATTTCTAACTTCTTCAATGCCCATTTCAAATGTTTAAAAATCTACAAAATACTATGACTCCAAACAGAGTATCACACAGCTACCAATGATTTTACTGGACAAAACTTTTTTATTAGAACAATGAATCCAATCAAGTGAAAGATACCCTGAATTTTTCACCATAAGCTTCAACCATGACATTTTAAATCTTTAAACAGCACACCACATTATTAAACATTTACTCTGTTGCATCAGTATTTTATGTTTCAAACAGACATGGACATCTTGGGATATGAAAGGTTACTGCCAGTTATGTGAACATTCACGTGTCATTTGCATCTAGAGAATTGAGTGCAGATCTTGGAATTAGGACCACCACCCCAAGAATCTCTTGTCTAGAATGAACATTTGAAAGCAGACCTTGGGAACAATTTCTAAGGCTACAATTTCCAGAATCCACCAGCCAGTTTCTTAGAATTTTAATGCTAAAAATATCTTTTCCAAACTCAATTTGAGTATGAATTGTTGGGTAGCTTCTAGGGGATCGTTACAGATGGCCAACTGTATGTCCTCTGGAAAGTACACATACAAATGTGAGACAGTCTATAACCTGCTTCTGAGTGATGAGTTATATCTTCTCATCTACAAGACACCCATTGGATTTATGCTGGTATTGGGTTCTACTTCTTTTTTGCAAGCTGTTTGATTTAGTTGCAAAGAAAGACAAAATATAAATTAGCTCTGTAATCTATTTTATTTTAGACTTATTTTAAAGTCAAACATCTCCTCCCGTGCTCTCTGGAAGGTGAAGGCTGAGCTAGAATAACAACAGAGATAGCTGCAACCTTGGTACTCTTGTGTTTGGTAGAAAAGGCCCCTAAGTTGTTTCTTTTGCAGAGACGATCTGGAAAGGTCAATTCAGGCAGCACCATCTAACCTTTATCAGTTTTCCCATTCTGGTGCAGGATGGCAGGGATCACTACACAGAAAAATGCTGATATTACAAATTGTTTTTTTTTCCTGGCTTCTCTATTTTTTGCTCCATCTTTCTCCCCATATAAATGATTATCTATGAAGTACCTTTTTTAAAAAATTGTGATGCTTGCTAGATCAAGCATGCCACCCCACATCCACCTACCATGGCACTTAAATCTAGATAGGACATAATAGCAAAAACAAAACAAAAACACCCTTGTTTTCTGAAAACTGGAGCAAAGATTTGAGTTTTTTAAAATTACACCAAAATCTAAAACAA